CTTCAAATGTTACATCACTACAAATAACTTCATTTTTGGACATTTATGGTTTGATTTCTTTGTATGTATGGATCACTTAGGTTGTTACCAACATCTGGTGAAAATTTCATGTCATTAGCACCTCTAGTAATATATTTACTGAGAAAAATGGTGACGTGTTCAATACTTATTTTACCCGCTGTATGTGTGATAATACTACTATAATAAATCATACAGTTTATGTTCTCTTTTAGTTTTCAAAAGAACAGTTAGAAGACCTTAAAATAATATAAATAAAGGATTTTTTTTGTTCATGTGATTTCAAAGATTTGGAAGACTGTTAAAGTGAAAAAGTGAAGGTTTTAGATATCTTCTTGCTCAAACCTGACTGGGGGTTCTGATGGGCGAGATCTGCAGTCGGGACCCTCTTGTTACATTTTGTTTTTAAATTGCATTTACAATCGAAAGCCTTAAAACCAGAGAGCTCACTCTAAACCACAGAACTGGTTCTTGCATGGCCTCTTGGGACAAGTCCCTCTAAAACCTTTAACGACCAAAGCTCTCTTCTTCCTCAGGCACCAGATCCAGCTTCCAAACAGTTGGGTTTGGAGGCTGATCCTGAACTTGAAAAGGTACGTTTGTGTCATGACTAAAAAAAACCCTCTGCTCTGCCATGAAATTAACAAAAACATGTTATCTGTTTTTTTTTTCCTAACAGAGTTATACATACAGACATTGTCGAGACTTGGTTCAGTTTTACAGACTCATTGTAACTTTAGGAGCAGTTTAAGGCGTGTTGACCCAGATATCACCACCTGAATTCAGCAGCCTTCGTGGCAGAGATATGAACGTGTGGTGGTTTTGTTTGTGTGTCAGGCAGCAGAGGCAATTAGGTCACAAACTGGAATTTCTTTTTTCCTTTTGACACTAATAACCTAAACATAACTGTTTTTAGCATAGCTAGGTAGTCTGGTGCTGAAGTGGCAGTTTATGTTTAAGTACTGTGATCAGATTGTTCCTTTAAATTAATTCTTATTTATTGACAGAAGTTAATGTCACATCTCTTTTTATTAGTTTGGACTAAGTTATGTGCACACACTTATCTATCACTTAGTTGAGTAAATCAGCCTATCCAACCTGTATTCCACTGCTGAGTTCTAGTCTGTCGCCTTGTTGACTTGATATGTTTGAGGTTACAAACTCTCACTAACCACATCCTTCTGTTGACCTTTTGTCTTTCTGCTGCAACATCAAACCCTTTCTGAGATGTCTTTCAGCCACATTTGATACTAGCTGTACTTAAAACCTGATCTATTCCTGTAAAGCCAGAACTATAGAACCATTTCAAACGTGACAATGTTCTTCCACTTCCTGTGTTTTGGATTTCCTCATCAACGCTTAAGTATTTTTAGGTGTTTCCAGTCAGGCACCTAAATGCCTTTTAACGACTCTGGGTTATAAACGGGCTCACTGTTTCCCCCTCAGTGCGTTCAGAAGCTTGTCCAGCCCCCGGAGAGCCCAGAAATCAAGGAACATAAGGTGCAGGACCTGGTTCAGGTTCCGAGGCAGCCGGCTCCAGCGCCTGACTCTAGTCCCGGTGCTCGCCGAGCCAAGCGCATGAAGTGTGAGGTGGGCGTCTTCAGACACCTGACAGCTCAGACTTCACTGTTCACCACATGTTTCCACCGTCACACCAGTTTTTGTTCTGCAACGCTTCACTTCTTCTTTTTGTGTGTGCAGACTATCTGTGTGAAGACTGAACCAGGTGAGGTGGGTGAGAGCAGGCCGAACCTGAGGCGGAGGATGGGCTCTTTTGTTGCCAAACCAGAACCAGGTCAGACTCCTCATTTCAGAGTGAAGACCAGTCGTTCTTATAGATCCTACAGCATGTATGGTAATATTCATTAATCAATACTTTTTTCATACACTCAACTGCCATTTTATTAGTTTCACCTTGCTAGTACCAGGTTGGACCCCCCTTTGCCTTCAGAACTGCCTTAATCCTTGGGTGCATAGATTCATCAAGGTACTGGAAACATTCCTCGGACAGTCTGGTTCATATTGACATGATAGCATCACACAGTAGCTGCAGATTTGTCGGCTGCACATCCATGATGTGAATCTCCCGTTCCACCACATCTCAAAGATGCTCTATTGGATTGAGATCTGGTGACTGTGGAGCCATTCCATTACAGTGAACGCGTTGTGTTCAAGAAACCAGTCTGAGATGATTCACTTTATGACATGGAGCTTTATCCTGCTGGAAGTAGTCATCAGAAGATGGTACACTGTGGTCATAAAGGGATGGACATGGTCAGCAACAATACTCAGGTAGGCTGTGGCGTTGACACCATGCTCAGTTGGTACTAATGGGCCTAAGGTGTGCCAGGAAAATATCCCCCACACCACTGCACAACCACCAGCCTGAACTCTTGATACAAGGCTGGATGGATCCATGCTTTCATGTTGTTGCTGCCAAATTCTGACCCGAATGTCGCAGCAGAAATCCAGACTCATCAGACCAGGCAACGTTTTTCAATCTTCTATTGTCCAGTTCTGGTGAGCCTGTGTGAGTTAGCCTCAGTTTCCTGTTCTTAGCTGACAGGAGTGGCACCCGGTGTGGTCCTCGGCAGCTGTAGCCCATCCTCCTCAAGATTCAATGTGTTTTGTTCAGAGCTGCTCTTCTGCAAACCTCTGTTGAGTTATTGTTGCTGTTTTATCAGCTCCAACCAGTCTGGCCATTCTCCTCTGAACTCTGACATCAACAAGGCATTTGCTCCCACAGAACTGCCGCTCACTGGATATTTACTCTTTTTCGGACCATTCTCTGTAAACCCTAGAGATGGTTGTGGGTGAAAATCCCAGTAGATCAGCAGTTTBTGAAATACTCAGACCAGCCCGTCTGGCACCAACAACCATGCCACGTTCAAAGTCACTTAAATCACATTTCTTCTCCATTCTGATGCTCAGTTTGAACTGCAGCAGATTGTCTTGGCCATGTCTACGTGTCTAAATGCATTAAGTTGTTGCCATGTGATTGGCTGAATCCACATGTGTGTTAATGAGCAGTTGGACAGGTGTACCTAATAAAGTGGCCGGTGAGTGTATGTGTCCCTCTGATTTGAATATTTATAAAACGTAATTCTTCTGGGCTCTGATAAGCTGACAGATAAACATCTGTACCTTTATATTTTTTAACATTATAGTTGAATTTTCGAACATGCTAAAAACTCAAACACAAAATCAAACAAATAAAAAGAATTAACTCGTAATTATTTTGATTTTGCATTTTTTTTAATGTGGAGCTAAAGGAAAATGTTTCCATAGTTTTTGCAGAAATGAACGTTACAACACAAGTGCCAGACTTGGTAAGAGAGGTGCTTCTTGTTGTCTTGCAGAAAAACTGATTCCCATTCCAGTGAAACAGGAGCCGGTGGAGTTTAAGGAACCAATAACTGAAGTTGACAAATTTAAGTCACGGTACAAGAAGATGATGATTCCTCCTGTTCCCCCAAGTCCAGTGAGTACAAGCAGGGTTCGACAAGATTCTTTTTCTTTACCTGCCCTGTTGGGCAACTTACCCCAAAATCAACCTTTTTTTGCAGATAAACTGTCTAAACTGTGCCCTAAGGGTAATAATACCTTTCTATTTATGACTAAAAATCAACATTTTGGTCTAAAATTGTTTAAATGTACAATATTGTGTCTAAAAACGTCTTTGTGCTGCTTTCAATGGGTTCAACTTTGACTACTACATTTGAATTTCGTTATTCGTTCAAAAAGTACCGTATGACGTTGCTGGTACTGTGTGATGTCTCACAGCACCGTGTTCGGTATAAAAGCCTCTCGGTAGAGACACACCCTGCAGAGATTCAGGAGTTAGCCATAGCATTGTCGACGGTTGCTGTGGTAGAAGCTGCCTTCTCCTCWCCCACAGTAAAAAACATGGAGTCTATCAGTCATAAAACAAACTGAATTAACTTACACATCCTCTTTGTGCTTCAAGATTTAAACTGTGGTTGCTGTGTCACAGAGTTTAGATCGGGCCAAAAATACACACACACACACACACACACACACACACACACACACACACACACACACACACAC